ATTTTGCCAAACTTCCTGTTCGCGAACAGAAGCGTTCGTGAACCGAGGTACCACTGTACATGCGTTGAGGTTGGCAGCAGTGGGGAAAATAAAGGAAAGACGGAATTCTAGGAACAGCCCCTCTTGCCACCCCCCTACTCCAGTTGTTACCCCCAAAGTTATGCTACTCTTGGTTTTTTACATGAATCAAGCCACTTCAAACTTTGCCAACAGACAGTCTCATGTTACCACTAAATGGTATGAATGCATAACTGCAATATCCAAATTTCGGTAATATTTAATGCTGCAGTTGACTTTAAGGGAGAGCTATGACGATACAAGTAAAAATACAGCTTGTATTCATATTCCATTTGTGTAGTATAGTGTAATTCACTCACATATATGTGGTCCTGAAGAAGCCTAATCTACTGTGCACCACAATGACACGGGGTCATTGGCACTGAATTATACTGCATCTGTGGTGTGCATGATCTCTGTCTATCACAGCATATGACAGTTTATACTAAGTACATGTTTTTATCTGGAATATAAATAAAAACAAAGTACTTTTAATGCCACAGTTAAAGACCTTATTTAACAAAGGTACAAGTAACATTCTGGGATGGTGGCTGGTAACTATAATGTTGATAAATTAGTCAAAATCTGACACCTTTGTGGTTTTTGCAAAGGTTCAGAATCATTACGAGTCTGTATTACTATCACACGCACTGCCTCAAGAGACTGCTACCATGATACAAGCAGTTCCTGGGATGACTGCAGTTCCATTTATAACTAATGAATGAGGTTGCTTTCAGCAGGTCAAGGCCTTCCCGAGCCTGAATCCTTGCAATCATCCCTAGGATGGAAATCGGAGCCATTCAAATGTACCAATGAGAAGCAATTTTATGAGACAAAGTGCATACTATCCACGTGACGGGAATACAAGTGTGTGGGGAGGATCATATATCAAAGCACATAAAAGCAGTTACAAAAACGAACATAGAACAGGCATGAGAATGATATAGAATATTTCATAATTAATGTTTTTGTTGAGATTGTCACGCACATTATGTAAAGCTGGCCATACACCTTACAACCATCACAAGACTTTTGTCTTGTGATGGTTGTAAGGTAATTGGACAGGCAGATAATAATTGCGATAATTGCAAGTCCGCCCCTCTGAGGGCAGACTTGCGATGCATCAGCGGGGCGGGCTTCCGATGAATGAACAGCTGAACGGGCAGTGTGCGCTCGCGCACACCGGCCCGAGCGGCATTTGTCTTACGAGCAAGCCATAAACCCGCCAAAAATCGTACAATTCACGGCGGGTTTTCAAACATGCTTGTAAGACAAAAGACGTGCGACCGTACAGTGGAAACGGTCGCACGCCTTCCATACACCTGCCGATTATCGTACGATCGCGGGATATTGTACGATAATCGGCAGGTGTATGGGCACCTTTAGATCTTTAGATGCAGTTAGCAAGGATCGGATCTGGCTCTTGTGGTGGAATTAGATGAGGATATTGTGTCCAACCAGGCTGGAATGCGATGTGGAAGTTTTTCCCTCACAATGAGGTGGTGCCACTCTGTGGGTGGATGTTATCCATCGCTATATGTAGAGACTAATAGTGAGCATGGAGCACACCACACTCCTTTGAGGAAATCCTAGTTTAGTAGGAAACATGTGAGCAAGAACACGTGGTGTGTGGAGGAACCAGGCATGCTTCTATGACATTGCAGCTTACATCGGCCTATATGTTTATATGATTTATTTCTTTTTTTTAGAAGAACTTTTCATGATAAAAGGAAGATTGGATGTGGTGGAGATCAGAACATACAAGATAAATACCCCATGGCCTTGATGACAACATACTCCTTGTGTTTAGAAACATTCACCAACCACGTGTCATCCTATCAACATGATTCATACAGCCTGTGCAACTGTGGGACTACATGGTCTGTACCATGTGGTGCATGAGATGAACACAGCTTTATAAGATTTCATGTTGTGTGTAATTAGAGATATATATATCTCTACATATATATATATATATATACATACACAAACATTGTACCCCAGTGGACATTTGATATAAATCTGTGCCGACATAGCTGGGAGATGTGAAACATTTTATACATACAGATACATGTGAATGTGGCCCGAGATTGGCATTGACATTTGTGCATATGCATACTGAGATTTCACACAAGTACACTCCATCCACCAGATGCACATACTTTGTTGGATGGGAGTAGGATCATTCTAAAAGGATTGAATACTAATGAGCACAACCATATTAATAAAGCCGTGTCACTTAACACACCAAGTTCTCCAATGAGTGTTATCTAGGGAGTATGTTGAAGGCATTCTCTTAAGAAATATACAATGGCGTTACAAGTTTTTAAGACAATGGAAAACATTGGAAAAATGTCCTTAAGCAATCACGGAGTATAGTGGAATATCATATTACAATATCTGGTGCACAAGAAGACTTTTATGAGGCAGAATGTGAGCTGGGTATATAGTATAGAGGAGAATATTGCATGTAAAAGAGTGCATACATTGAAGTTTATTAATTATGATGCTACTGTGACATTTGCAAGTACTGTACTGGAGGGAGATTTTAGTGTTTCTAATGGTATATGTCCATTTAAGTTTGATAAGAATTAAAGATGGATTTGTACACCATCTATGATATACAATGATAACTGGTATCTGTTATGGTATTTCAGATACTGATAGGTTAAACTCTTAATAATTATCATTTAGATTAAAAAAAAACAACAAAAAAAAACCCGAGTTGATTCATGTTGAAAAAGAGTCTGAACTCCTTATATAAACACTTGTTACAGGTCAGTGAAAATAGATTTCAGAAAGAGGAATCAGCAATGGCAGGAAGTCACTTTATAAAATTGTTACAAGGGTGGGAGAGGTCATGTGACCTGATGAGAACACATTACCGTAATATTCCTGTTCCTGCTGCCCAAGACCTGTGACAAAAGAGGGTATGTGGGGAGGTGGAGGACATATTACCCATGTCCGCATTCCACCATAGCAATTTTAAGAACTGCTATGGTGGAATTTCCAAAATATGTCAGTTGAAGCTCCTAAACTCCCCAATTTCTATAGGGACTTCACAAATTTGACCGTGCCCGCAGTGCAGTTTTAAATATATCCCACACAGTGACAATGCCGATGAAAAGTTGAACAAAAACAGATTTAAATTTTTTACTGTCACATTTAATGTTTTCACCACTTTACTTCAAATCTACATTTTACAAAGTGTCCATCAAGTGTCTCATAGACCCATACTGTAAGATACAGTCTTTCCCGTCTCCAGTTCCATCTTCATAGGTTTTATTTGGTGGCAAATCTTTCGCTGTAAAGCTTCCGCTGGAATTGGATTTTCATGAGCCACTCCAGATAAGAAAACCAAAAGTAGAAAAAAGATACCATACCATCTGTAAAATTTGGAATTCCAATATACATAGTCTTTCACAGCAAAAGTTACTTCATTGAAGTCAAAACTTCCCGTAAGATTTAAAAAAAAAAAGAAAAAAAGTAGTCTCCTCCTATTACAATCCAGCTCATTCAGGATAAAAAATATTATTCTAAAGATAAATTACAATAACTTTCACAATTAATAGTCCATTACAAATACCTCTGTCTTCCCCCAAAAATGTCGATTCCTGGATTCATACGAGGTTAATCCATTAAAATGCCTTGATATAGGTGAAAAGCGATCTTCAGTTTTATTGTATTGTAATGTTTACATATAAAAGTTGGAAGGAACATTCAAGTTTTAAAGTCTGCACACTGAACCTAAAAATAATTTAGGAGTGAAACAAGCTGAGCTGTAAACTCCAGGAGGTAGAGGCCATCGGTTTGTATATACATATACACAGAATATTCAGTGTTGTAAAGAAAAAAACAAAAATATTAAAAAATATTTTTCTACTGTGATTTTTTTTCCACACTGTCCCTGCCTAAAAAAAACACCAATATGGTTAGAGATACTTCTCATTTTAAACTTTAAGGTGTACCAGTCATCCAAAGAGTGGAAAGAGGCATTCTGTGGGCAAACTCCAATATATCAATTCATTATTACTGTGTTCAAGAATGTTGATTTCAATGGCTCCTAATAGTACTTTGAATTACTGGTCCAATTCACAAACTAGATGCATCCACTATGCATACCTCCAAACTCTGTAAAAGAAAAACGGAGTATTAAAGTGTATGTCAAGCCAACTGGTTCTTGGGTGGAATGGGAAAGGGCAACTCCCAATCAGGTTTTTACTGCTATCTGGGGTTTGGTTAATGAGATGAATTCTTATTTGCTCCTCTGCAGACATGAAGTGAGGGAAAATCTGCAACAGAGACATAAGACAGAAACTTTTTTTCATTTACAGGGGCTCCATCTTTCCCTTACAAAATGAAAATATTTGTCTTTTCTGTCTGTCTTGCTGTTAGAGAGAATTACCGTCACTTCCTGTCTCGCATTTAGCAGCAGGAGAAGAAGTGATGGTAAATCTGTCTAAGTACCAGATAGCAGTAAAAAGCAAAGGTTCTAACCCCTCCCTATTCTATCCAAAACAAAGAAAAAGGTTTTGGCTGGACATACACTTTAAGCCCTGCTCCAAATCACCCAATTATACCTATATATTTGGTCTACATTATGTTTGATTTCCCAAACACCCCCCATCTGGAGGTTCAAAAACTAAGCCAGTTTGGAGGTATTATTGTTATGGGCAAATATGTACACCTAATATTGTCTTTTTTTCAGGTTCAAACTGTACAGTGCAAGAAAGAAATAATAAAAATCACAAAAACAAGGGGAAAAAAAGATAAAATGTGCCAGCTAACGCATTTTTATACAGCGGGACATGAAAAGGGACTTTACAAATGAGACCATCAATGGAATTATTTACATTTGTGAGTAATGAAACATGCCCGGGACTTAAAAGTTAAGAAAGGAAATCTAAGAAAAA